GATCGATCTCCTCCAAGATGACCCCAAGAAGCGCCCAGGAGGCCCCAAGAGGTCCCAAGATGGCCCCAAGATGGCCCCAAGAGGCCCCCAAGAGGCCCCCAGGAGGCCCCCAAAAGGATCCCAAGCGGCCCCAAGAGGCCCCCCCGAGGCACCCAAGACGCCGAAGAGCCCCCCACGACCGCCAAGAGACCCCCAAGACGTCCCAAGAGGCCACCAAGAATCGCCCAAGAGATACCCCAAGACGCTCCGAGAGGCATCCAAGAGACCTCTGGCCCTTGTGCTTGCCCTCCTCCTCTTCCTGTCCCCCCTTCCTCCTCCTACTCCTTTTCTTTCTCCTCCTCTTCCTCCTCCTCGTCCTCCTCCTCCTCCTCCTCCTCCTCTTCCTCCTTCTCCTCCTCCTCCTCCTGCTCCTCCTCCTCTTCCTCCTCCTCTTCCGCCTCCTCCTCCTCATCATCCTATTCATCCTCCTTTCTCCCACTCCCTCATCCGTCCATCCATCCATCCACCTCCTCCTTTTCCTCCTCCTCCTGCTCCTCCTCCTCCTCCTCTTCCGCCTCCTCCTCCTCATCATATTCATCCTCCTTTCTCCCACTCCCTCATCCGTCCATCCATCCATCCACCTCTTCCTTCTCCTCCTCAGTCCTTTGCACGGTTCGACCGTCCTCCTCTTTGTTGCCGCACTTCCGTGATCACCTCAACTCGCCTGGACATCGTTTCTGGATGGGCGGGTGGGGATACGCGAAGCGTTTAGAACTGCAATAAAAATCCAACGGAAGGGCGCTATTCTTCAGCGAGTCACAAGCAAGTCTCCAGCCAGAGTGCGGCTCCAGATCGCCGGGAGAGCGATACCTGATTTTTGAATCTAAAAAATCAAAGCGAAAGCGCGATTCCTGAATACAACGCGAAAAAGTCTCGGGCGGGAGCGGGGGTCTTGGCAAAGTGCAAAGAAGTCTCAGGCGGGAGCCGTCGTGGTTGTAATCCGGGGGCCAAGGGCCCAGTTTGAGCCTCAAGACTTCCCATGGTAAAAAACATTGTGCGAGCGTCGAAGGCACATTTTGATTGCGAAAAAACCGTATTCACGGGCGGGGGGATCAACAAAAATTATTATGTTTGGAATGATAATTCAACCACAACGACAACAACAACAATAACAATAACAACACTCATGTTTTAAAGATGTTCCCTCTCATCTGCTCGCGCGTCATTCAATATGCATATCCCAAACCCTGGACACCCGCCCTCTTCGTCTTGGATCGCACCCCTTCTGAGGGGTATATTCAGTCCCGGCCACGCGTGGTTGGTGAAGCCCTTGAAAACGAAGGGCAACAGATAAAGCGGGAGAACGAGGACGAAGGGATGGGAGGAATGGAAGGGGAGGGGCAAGAAGGAAAGAGGACGATGATTTGCGCTGCGAGTGGCGATTCAGTTTGAGCAATGGTTTGCGCCAGCCACTCCACAGTAAGTTTCGCCCTGGGTCGCGCCGTGAACAGCGCCACGCGCCACCCCCTAGAAAGAACACATCGTGGATACCCCCACGGGGGGGCGCACAGCTGCGAACTAACGTGAGAAACAAATTTCGTGGAACCCTGAAAAGAAGCGGGATGTTGGGAGAGGGGGCGGAAGGATAATGAGAACTGCAACGACGTCGAGAGGGGCGCAGGGACGTGAAGTGGATTGAGATGGAGTGGACAAGACTAGGGTATCAGGAGGAAGAGCGGCAAGGGGTGAAGAAGAGGAATTGGGAAGAATGCGGAGGAGCGGGGGGCGCACGGAGGAATCTGGAGCAACTGGGAACAATTTGGGAGAAATGCGGAATGCGAGCGGGAAGGGGTGGAGATTATTGGGGTGGGATGGGGCGGCCTTGGGAGGAGTGGGCGGAATGCAAAGAGCTGAGGAATAGCACAATGGAGTACGAACGACATGATAATGAAGATAAGGGAAAGAGTAGAGAAGACTGGGACAGAACGTTGAGAAGTGGGGGCAGGTGGATGCGAGCGGAGACTGGTGCGGAAACAAGGCGCGGGGGGATTGGAAGGCACCCGAAAGCCTCCTATGACCTTTGGGGGGCCTCGGAATGGTCCCGATGACCACCGAGCAGTTCCAGAGGCTCCGAAAAAGTGCGGGAACGCCCCGGGGGCCTCGTCGAGGGAGGCCTTCATTCGAAGCCTGCAGAAGAACCTGGGCCAGTGGAACACGCGCGGCTCAAAGGCCGGCAAACCGGGCACGCTGGCGATGCACACACCGACCAGCGGCAACCAGACCCCAAGATGGACAGACAGCGGGCTCACCACGACGACGACGACCACGACGAGAGGTGGGAGGAAGCGGCATCTGATCAAATTGTGAGGAGCGGCTTTTGAATAAATTGTGTGGAAGTATCAGGCGGGAGCCGCGATTCGGTTGTAAATTGCGAGAAGTCCCAAGCGAGAGCGCGATTCTTCAATAAATTGTGAGGAAGTGTCAAGCAGGAGCCGCGGTCCGGTGGTAAATTGCGAGGAAGTCCTAAACGAGAGCGCGATTCTTCAATAAATTGTGAGGAAATATCAGGCGGGAGCCGTTGTTGTTGCAAACCGGGGGCCATCAACGCAGTTTGACCCTCAAGACTTTTCCCTGATAAAAAACAGGGTGCGAGCCCCAGGAAGGGCACTTCAATCGGGAGAAAAAAAAGGAAAAGAAAAAAAACAAAAATGCACCAGACGGGGGGGATCAACAATAATTATTCTTCAGAAATGAGAATTCAACCACGACGACGACGACGACAACGACGGCGGCGGCGGGCGACGACGACGACGACCACGACGACGACTACGACGACGGACGACGACGACCACGGTGACTTCGTCGACGGCTGCGACGGCGACGACGACGACGACGACGACGGCGACGACGACGACCAAGACGACAACGACCACGCCCAAGACTACGACAACGGGGACGAAGACCACGACGACGACGACGACGACGACGACGACGACTACGACGACGACGACTCCCGCGCGGACGAGAACGAAGATAACGACGTCGTCGTCGAAAGAAGCTTCAGGGCCAGCCGCCTCGCCACCCGGTCGTCGTAGCCTCGGAGCCGCGGCGGTCGCCATGCCGATCGCCCGGCCGCCAACGGAGCGCCGCCGGCCGACTTGTCCTCTCTCGCCCCGTCGTTCATCCTGCAAGCCTTCACCTTCGACCGTCTCCGACAGATCATCATGATCATCATGATCATCATCATCACCACCACCACCATCATCATCATAATCATCGTCGTCGTCATCACCATCACCATCTCCATCACCACCGTCAAAATCAAACACTATCATCATCATCATCATCATCATCATCATCATCATCATCATCATCATCATCATCATCATCATCATCATCATCCATCATCATCATCATCCATCACCATCATCATCATCATCATCATCGTCATCATCGTCACCACCATCATCATCATCACCTTCATCATAATCATCATCATCAGCATCATCATCATCATGGTCATCATCATCACCACCATCGCCATCATCATCGTCATCGCTGTCATCATCATCAACATCAACATTACCAACATCTGCATCAGCATCATAATCATCAGCAGCATCAGCCGCACCCGCATCAGTAAACCATCATCGGGCTTATCATCGTCATCATCGCGGTCATCAAAATAGTCAGCATCATCATCAGATTCATGTTCATCGAAATCATCCAAATAATCGTCACATTCATCGCCAACACCATCGTCATCGTCAATTTCATCGTCGTCGTCAACAGAATCGTCATCCTCAGAATCATCATCACCACCACCACCATCACCATCATCATAACACTCAACTGCATCATCGTCATCCAAGACCATCATTAAGAATCAGATTAATTATCCTCGTCGTCGTCATCCCTCATCATCATCATCATCATCATCATCATCATCATCATCATCATCATCATCATCACCAGCACCAGCATCACCGATTCATCATCACATCATATTTCCCCTCCTCCTCCTTCCCCGTCTCCTCGACCGCCTCTTTCTCCTCCTCTTCCTCCTGCGTCTCCTCCTTTTCGTCATCCGCTTCCTCCTCCTCCTCCTCCTCCTCCTCCTCCTCCTCCTCCTCCTCCTCCTCCTCCTCCGCTTCCTCCTCCTCCTCCCCCTCCTCCTCCTCCTCCTCTTCCTTCTCTTCCTCGTCGCTGCCCTTCGCCAATGTCCTCCTTCTTCGCCTCGGAGCGCGCCGTGCGCTGGACCCCGGCCCGGCAGCGGGCCCGCGCCTGGAATGTTGCCTCACCGCTGATGGGCGAGGCGCCCTTCCTCTTGCCCACCCACCCGCCCAAAAAAACAGTATTGGACCTAGATCACGTTGAATCTCTCGCCCAATCATCTGCCCATTTTTTGGCCATGTTCGGGGCAACAACGACACCGGCGCGAACTTATTATTGGGCCAAGATTTCTGGTTTCACGGTGCTCATCCACTCCCCCCGTTCCCCGTTACCTCAGCTCCTTCCCCCCCTCCACCTGCCATCGCTCGGACGTCCATTTCCCGTGCATGTTTCGGTGTCGTGCGTGTTTTTTGTTTGCTCGATGGTCCAGGATGGTCCTCGATGGCTCTCGCCGAGAGAAAAATGCACACGTCCGAGCGATGCAAGGTCCAAGTCCGCGCTGGAGCCCGCGGGTTGCCAGCGGGCTCCTGCACAGGCTGAGCTCGCCTAGCCCACCCGACCGCTCTGGTGGCCCGTCCCGCCTTCGGCAGGCCGCTCGAGGGTGGGGGGCTGCGGGGTTTGCCCAAGTGCTGGGGCAGGGTCACCATGGGGGTCGGGCGGGTACCTCGATAGAGTTCTCCGCCGCGCCCCGACGAGGCCCAACGAGGACACTGTCGTGCCCTCCAGGCCCCCACGGCAAACCGCACCCTGGCGTAGCCACACCCTTCGTAGTCGCCGAATCTAGGAGGCCAAGATCCAATTTGTCTGGAGTGTCGGATCTCTGGGGACGAGGCGAGATGAGGCGAGGCGAGGCCGCCGGGGCCGCGGCTGACGCCCGCGTCCACACACGAGGGCTTCAGTTTGTCGAAGTCCGCCGGCCACGGTCCGCGTCGTGGCGACGTCACGTCTCAGGGCCCCACTCCGGGCCTCAGCCTCGTCCTCGTCCTCGTCTTCCTCCTCCTCCTCCTCCTCCTCCTCCTCCTCCTCCTCCTCCTTCTCCTCCTGTTCCTCCTCCTCCTCCTCCTCCTCCTCCTCCTCCTCCTCCTCATCCTCGTCCTCCTCCTCCCGGTCCCCCTCTTTAGCCAGGCGCGGCTTTATCGATCGTGTGCAAGGTTTCGTGTTTCAGCCTAGTGCTCATGACACGTGCGTCACGGGATCAAGGCAGCCTCACATCGACTTCGTTGTAGCTAGTAGGTCAGCGTACCCGTATCTTGGTCAGGCCGAGGCGGTGCTCGACGTACCGTGGGGCACCCGCTGCGCCTTGAACATTACCATCCGCAACGAGGGACGACGGTTCATCACTAGACCTTTGCTCGTAGCCCACCCTCTCCCGCATGTCCCAGGACAAGCGACGCAGCCGCAGCCTCAAAGCAAGTCTCAGCGCGCCAAGAGGAGAGCTCGAGGAGGCGCGCGACCATTTGCCACTAAGTCCCAAGCTGTTTGCGAATCGTTGTTTGGGGGACGTCGTGGGAAGTAGGGGATCTCAACAGGAGCTCGCTCAAGAGTTTCAGGAGTTGCCCCATCGGAGACGAAAGCCTGGCGACCCTTTTAGCTCTGGAGAGACCGACGGGACCTCCGAAGAGGAGGATCCATTGGCCCACGAATCAGATGTTACAGCCCCTGGGCCCATTAGCGTGAGTGCCCCTGCGGTACATGAGCCCCTAGCGTCATGCGCAAGCTCTGCTAACCATGGGGCCGCCAATGGACTTACTCAGTCTTCCCCTTCGCCCCCCCCTTTGCCATGCCCAAACAGCTCTGGGAGCGGCACCGTGGAAGCATGGGAAGTCTTGGGAATACGCCTGACGACGCGTGGCCAGCTTCTGCGTCATCTTTAGCGTACCGAATAGGAGGGGACAACATCTGAGCAATCAGCAACACGTTCGGGATATGGACGCAACGGCGGGAAGCACCATCCTGGCGCATCACGAGAAGAGCAAAATAGGACGACCACGCAGTCAGGAACCACTTTTAAGCGTTCCGCTGGTGCAGCGGCCAGAGCATGTACGATATCAGTCTCTGTCCGGCCGCGCTGTCAGCTGCTGGGCTAAAACTCGCGCTGGTTTGCACATGTTGTATCGGCACAGGGCTTGTGTATGTAGGTTAACGACCGAAAAGTCGAACCTACAATACTTCCCGTAGGTAGAGGTAGGAAGAGGGTCGCGAGTCCTTTTCCGGGGCGCTGCGAAGGAGGCAGCGCGGTATGTTGTACCAATACATGAGCCGAGACGTCAGCGGTCGATAAGGATATGATGACGATATGAGCGGATTTCACACAGGGCTCGAGGCAAGAGCTGCGCGCAGGTTCAACAATTATCTGATGCAGGCGCCGCGGTCGAGGACCTCCGTGAAGTAGTCCGCGTGGTCCTTCCCTCGTGCAGGGGGGGCACCGTCGTGGGACCTCCGGCTTCGGCAGCTCGAGCATCGCGAAGACCTTGGGATTGGGGCTTTGGAGATTCTCAGGGGTTTCGCGGGAAGGGCCCGAGGGCGCGCGGCGCACGCGTCTTTGCAGAAGGTTCCAGGACCGGATCGTCGAGGAAGCTCTTTGGGCTCGTCTTTCAAGTCTCTGCGCAAGGACCCGCCTGTAGCCGACAAGTTCATCGTAGATGGCCAGACGATGTTCGACCCAGAGGACAGCGTCGATTCGAAAGTTGAGCATTGGCAACGCCTTTGGGCAGCAGGGGAGGAGGCCCCTGGCTTGGAGTCTCCTTTTTTGCACGATCAAGGCGACAGGTGGATCTGGTCCTCTCCCCCCTTTGAAGTGGCAGATACATCATGGTGGCGATGGGGATGAAGGGGAAGGCGGGAGTGGGTGTCGATCGCATCTCTCCTCTCGACTTCGGCCGCTTGCCTGACTCGGCCGTGTCAGCATAAAGTCAAGTGCGCGCTTGCACCGAAAAGAAGAAGATCAGGCCGTGGACAAGAAATTAGGTGGCAGGGCGATTGGGCTGATTGCGATGCCGCGCAGAGCACGGAGTCTAGCCCGAGAGCCTTGCGCACGTGAGTGGTCAGCGTCATGAACGTCGGAATGGGACGCAGCTATCGCGGGAAGCAACGCACACGGGGAATCTGAACTCAAGGTCCTGGAGTCCGAAGTTGCGGTCAAGCTCGGGGCCACAGTAGGGCAGACTGTCCTAGGACTTAGAAGTTTTCACGACCACACGCAGCGGGCACGTTTAATCTCGGCAGCTTTGAGGTTGGGCTATCCCGTAGCGGCCCTTTTTCTCGAACTACAGACCTGCCTCCCGCCAAGAATTGCTTCGCCGGTTGGAGCTCACTCACGGACCTTTCAGCATACACGGAGCGTGGTCCAGGGCCTCGGGAATGGTACTCGGTTCGCTCGATGCGTTACGTTTTTCGTCATGCGCAAGATGCACGAGAAACATGTTCAGATGAGTCACCGTCTCTGACCCGACAATTCCGATAGCCCGATGGTCGGATCAGAGAAAATGGTCAAGCGGAAGCTCAATGCAAGTGCACAGCACGCGCACGATTTGCTCAAGATGAGAAGCTCGCTCTGGCCACCAAGCGTAGTGCTCTGCTCTACCCATCGCATTGCTAGACGGGCCTCTGCTCTGCTTCAACGGCGAGGTATCCTCGTGCAGCCTGTACGCAGAGAATCGTCAAGGCAACCCTTCAGAGCAACAAGCCGAGGGGCTCCGCGAGGACCACTAGGAGGTGTCCGGTGACCAAGAAGGTGAAGCTCGAGGGCCCTCAGGCGGCGTCGACGGGCCTTTGGGAGTCAGCTTTTCGAAGTTCGGGGGCGCATGCAGCAGGAGCCCAAAAGGGGCCCTGAAGGGCCCCCTCTTTCCTTTAGGGCCTCCTCTTCACCCCCCATGTAGGTCACCTACCATTACCTCCCGCCCAAGGGCTCTCGTTTGTGCTGATCCGCTCTGTCCTCTTCTCGGGTTGATGGTGGTAATGGGGAGTGACCAAAATGGGGAAGCCCTCTAGGGTCCTAAAGGGAGCCCTCTAGGGTCCTTTTTGGAGTGTCCTTTAGGGCCCTAAAGGGAGCCCTCTATGGGTCCTTTTTGGAGCCAGGAGGGGCCCAAAAGGGGCCCTAAAGGGCCTCTGTAGGACCCGTTTCTTCACCCTCCATCCAAGTCACCCCCCGCTACCACGCGCCCAAGGGCTCTTGTTTGTGCTGCTCCGCTCTGTCCTCTTCTCGGGTTGGTGGCAATATGGGGTGACGTAAATGGGGGGGAAGAACAGGGCCCCTTCAGGGCCCCTTCTTCACCCCTGATTTAGGTCACCCCCCATTACCTCCCGCCCAAGGGCTCTCGTTTGTGCGGTTCCGCTCTGTCCTCTTCTGCCTTCGTGCGTCCATTCGCTACCGGTGCACTCCACCGCTTGCCACGACCGGCATCTGACTGTCTTGGACCACTTGGCGCCTGCGGACTTAAAGATGCGTGTTGTTCGACGTCCGTGAAGTAGTTACCACACGCACTGCTCGGCAACACGCAGAGTGGGGTAGGGGAAGGGGGGACGGCTTCTTAGAAGGAGGATGCTTCTTAGAAGGCTCCGACCCTACATCTACAGACAAGACCGCGCCTTCCAAGAATCAGCCTCCTTCTAAGAAGTCTTCCACCTCCCCCATACCCCCCCCCTCTGCGCGTGGCCACCCCCCCCTCTGCGCGTAGCCGAAGTTTGGTTACGACACGCACTACGCTACCTGCCCGCTGCCGTTGGACACTCACATGACAAACTAGACGACATAACGCGCCCACCTGCAAGACCATGGAGCTGGAGAGGAAAATGCTTCGCGATAACGTCGGAGGAGTGCTCGAAGGCCAGAAACTCTGCTGCAAAAGATGAATATAGAGATCGCCCAACTGCGTGCCCCCCTCGACACGGCGTTTGCACCCTGAGTGCCAAAACGAGAGGTCGCCAACAACAACGACGACAACAACAACAACAACAAACTAGATAATGAGAAAACGGGGACCATGACGAAGACTGAGCGCACAAATGTCGTGCCGATCTTGGTCACCGTTCATGTTGGTCAGTGTCAAGTCGTGCATCGCCCTAGTGAATCGGCGACGGCCAGCATGGACCATGACCAAGATCGGCGTCGACAAGATCCCGCGGCATGTTGGTCATTAGGGGAACAAAAAAAAGTGGCATAAACATAAAAACTCGGAGGTCCGCACGGATTTCTCGGATCGGCGCTGGGGCCCCCCGGCGGCGCCTCCGGCGCCGCCCCTGGCGCGCTCCGCGCGCCAGGGAGGGGGGTCCAGCGCCGATCCGAGAAATCCGCGCGGACCTCAGAGTTTTTATGTTTACGTCACTTTTTGTTCCCCTAGTCATGGTCCCCGTGCTTCTTCCTTCGATGAGCAAAACCTTTCGGAGGTCCGCGCGGACTTCTTCGATCGGCGCCGGGCCCCCCTTCCCTGGCGCGCGCGACGCGCCAGGGGCAGCGCCGCAGGCGCCGCCAGGCGGGCCCAGCGCCGATGCGAGAAATCCGCGCGGACCTCCCTCAGTTTACAGTTAGGGCGTTGCCCCAAGGAACGAGAAAGAAGGAAGAAGGGCCCCTTCTTTCACTGAGTTAGGAACTTCGGCGTCCCACCGAAAACGGAGGAGAAGCCTCCGGCAAACTGCAAACCCGCTAAGGAGCACAGAGCCCCACCCAAACGACAAGGACTCCTTCTTCAGCGCCCCGCCTATGTTTCTCGGGGGGCACATCGTGGCCCGAGGCATGTGCGGGCCCCGTGCTTCCCCCCTCGGAAGTCGTCACGGGCTCCAAGGCCTCTGCCGTCTCTCGACTCGCGCTGGAGCGGCCACGACTTGCTCCAAATATCTCTGAGTACATGGAAGTAGCTAGAAATACCTGGAGCTACCTGGAAATAGTTGGATTTATCTGAACAGCTTGGTCACCACAAGTCGATTGTCGAGAAGTCGTCGAACCCTTAAAGAGAAATAAGCCTGGCGAATAACCCAACCATCTGCAGTTGCGGGCACCGTCGTTGTATGCACCGCATTCGGTGGAGTTCCGTATAATGTTACCAAACGTGTGAGGGGTGTGCCAAAAATAAGTGTGGTGGGTGCATGTGAACGCTGGCATGTGGGCCTTCGGTGGGGCTCCCTATGGGGCCACGAAACGTGTGAGGGGTGTGCCAATATGGGCGCGTTGGCCGCATGCGAACGCTGGAATCGGGGCCTTCGGTAAGGCTGCCTGTGGTCACGAAACGTGTGAGGGGTGTGCCAGAACGGGTGCGGTGGGCGCATGCGAACGCTGGCATGTGGGCCTTCGGTAGGGCTCCCCTATGGAGCCACGAAACGTGGGTGGAGGGGGGCCAACATGGGCGCGGTGGCCGCACGCGATCGATGGCATATGGGCCTTCGGTGGGGTTCCCTGTGAGGCCACGAAACGTATGAGGGGGTGCCCAAATGTACGCGGTGGCCGAATGCGAACGTTGGCATGTGGCCTTCGGTCGGGTTCCCTTATGGAGCCACGAAACGTGTGAGGGGTGCGCCAAAATGGGCGCGGTGGTCGCATGCGAACGGTGGCATGAGGGCCTTCGGTGGGGCTCCCTATGGGGCCACGAAACGTGTGAGGGGTGGGCCACAAGGGGCGCGGTGGCCGCATGCGAACGCTGGCATTTGTGATTTCGGTGGGGCGCCCAGTGGGGCCACGAAACGTGTGAGTGGTGTGCCAAAATGGGTGCGGTGGCCGCATGCGAACGCTGGCACGTGTGCCTTCAGTGGGGCCCTCTGGTGCGCCAAAATGGGTGCGGTGGCCGCATGCGATCGCTGGCATATGGGCCTTCGGTGGAGCTACTTATGGGGCCATGAAACGTGTAAGGCGTGTGCCACAATGAAGGGGTGACGGGAGGAGGGAGGAGGGGGGGAGGGTGCAGCGGGAGGAGTGGGAACGCGGGGCGTTATCTCTTCAAAACAAGGACCCAACACCACATAATGGTTGTGAACAAAACCAAATAAAGAGGAGGCAGCGCAGCCGACGCGCAGCGGCACCGCCGTGCCGCTCGTCGCAGCGGGTCCAGGCAGCTCTCCAGGCGCGGCGGCGGACACGCGCGGCAGCGCAGCTGGATAGGCCAGCGCCGCGTTCAATTCCTGCTTGGGCGCCAGGTGAACATCTCCTCCTCCTCCTCCTCCTCCTCATTCTGCCCCACCTGCTCCTCATCCACGCCCTCCTCCTCTTTCTCCGCGTTTTCCCTCCCCCTCCTCCTCCTCCTCCTCCTCCTCCTCCTCCTCCTCCTCCTACTCCTCCTCCTCCTCTGTTCCTCCTATTCCTCATCCGCCGACTCCTCCTTCTCGCAGCTACGACCACTACGACGACTGCGACCACTACTACGACTACGACTACGACTACGACTACGACTACGACTACGACTACGACTACGACTACGACTACGACTACGACTACGACTACGACTACGACTACGACTACGACTACGACTACGACTACTACGACTACGACTACGACTACGACTACGACTACGACTACGACTACGACTACTACGACTACGACTACGACTACGACTACTACTACTACTACTACTACTACTACTACTACTACTACTACTACTACTACTACTACTACTACTACTACTACTACTACTACTATACTACTACTACTACTACTACTACTACTACTACTACTACTACTACTGCTACTACTACTACTACTACTACTACTACTACTACTACTACTATTACTACGGCTAC